TAATTTAGTTGAAGGGTTTGGTAAATACTAATAAATATTTTTTTGAAATCCCTTCGAGTTGCCGCAATCTTTGTAAGTTACAAATTTTCGCCCAGTACTACAAAAATCTATCGCTAAGCGAGGACTCAATTCAGTTTTTGGAAAAACTAAAAAATTTTATTGATTGCTAGCTTATTGGTCCACCCCTTTATTGCTCGATTTTGGCATTACTCTATACATTTTTAAATAATTACATATGAATTTTCTCAATTAAATACATACATAGATTTGAAAAGTATTACCGACTTAACAAGCCGGGATTCAAATATTTGTTGGACGTATTGACAGCAAATACGGAGGCACCAAAGAAAGCTTTTGCGATATCTCCCATCGCAAAACTGAGCGGGTGTTTAAGATTTTTGGCTGAAGGTGGGTACCAGACGGGTGTGGGTAAAGACTGCGACGTGTCCTTGGCGCAATCTAGTTTCAGCAAAGTATTGACGGAAGTTCTGACTGTTTTTGAGCGCCATTTGTGCCCGCAGTGAATAAAGGTGAGCGAAAGCGAGGAGGAAAACAGGAATATCGCCCGAGCCTTTTACGTTAAACATGGCATTCCGGGAGTTGTGGGGTGTATTGATGGCACCCACGTAAGAATAATTGCTCCAACACAAAACGCGGACCTTTACTACAACCGTAAAGGGGACTACAAACTAAACGTTATGCTTGTAAGTTACTCCTTATTTCCGCATTTATCTATATGGGAACTTTTTTAGATATCGACGGCTGAGTTGAAGCTCGACCTATCTCGGCAGCTGGTTCGAAAACGTCCTATCTCATAAAATGGCTCAAGAGCGCACTATATTAACATATTTTTAAATTCTGAGATAGGGCATTTTCCAATCGAAATCTGAAGTAAGGCGTTCTTGGCCCATTCTCTGAGATTCAACTTCAACTCAGCCGTCGCTATGCTTATTTGTACATATTTATGTTCAATATTTAGCTTTGCGACAATGAATTAAGGATTCGCTATGTTGATGCTTCTCATCCTAGGGCGTGCCACGATTCCTTCATATGGAACAACAGCGAATTGCGTGTTTCTTTTGAGAGGCAATATTTGCAAGGAACGAGGAATCCCTGGCTTTTAGGTATTGTTGTTATATTAATATACACTTGACCGTAATTACACCTTTTGTAAATTTTCAACAGCGGACACAGGGTATCCTTTAGAGCCGTGGCTATTGACACCTCATAGAACTCCAGAAGAAGGCTCAAGGGAAATGTTACAAGGGAAAAATTACAAATGTGTGTTGTGCTTTGCATAACATATGCATTCATTTCAAAGCCAATGTTGACATTGAACTTGAAGTGTTGGAGCCTGAAGATGCGGATGTAACACCAATTTCTTCTCAGCAGTATAGCGCAGTAGCACAGTCGATTAGAACAAATATAGGATCCGCTCTTTAAATCATGCGCAAAGCCTGGCAAAAAACGCAGCATTAAAGCAAGAGTTTGAAGAATATAATATTTTTTTACCATGCCATTGGACACTATTTTAGTGGGGTGAGTGGTAGTAATTGACGAATCAGTAGTTGTGTTAGATGAGTGCACATTGCTGACATTGCTGACAAAGCTGATATTTCAAAGTGTATATTATTTCTTAAAAATTTTAAATAGTAAACCTTAAATTTTTTCTTTACAGATTTGTATGCCGCTAACACAACAATCTAGTAACATCTGCTTCAACTAGCCGTGTCTCAACAGGGCCTACAAAACGTTATTTTTTGCAATTCAGCAATCAGCAACAACCATCGTCCAGCATAACTACCGGAACTACCACGTCAACAATTGTTGCCACAAAAGCACTGGGAACCGAACTACTCACGTTCACAAGAGTGGAGCTATGACTACTTCCACATCAACAACTTTATCGGTGAAAACTTTACCAACTGCAGCGGTATTCCCTCGAAAACAGCAACTGCCCAGCAACAAATGCAACAACAACAAAGCCAAAACCGAATTCAACGCCAACCTCAGCAGCAGGGACAGTCAGAGGAACGTAAACATTTGGTTGGCAAAAATCCTCCTAGATATATCCTCCAAGCGGGTGCCGACTGGGCAATGGGCATCGCTGCGGGCACCGCTGCGGTCGGACCTACGCCGCAGTGGTGAAAGTAGGCGGGGCCTAGCTAAGGCCGAGGTATAAACTCTCCTGTCTCTTCTAGTGGCTCGCCCTAAAGGGGGCTGGGGTGGGCATACTTAGGCTATTTCTAGGGGGTACCTGGCGG